TTCGCAAATCTTAACTTTTCTCATATTCAGACTTTTCTTATATAAATTTTCTATCATTTTCTCTTTTTTTCCCCCGGTCTTAAAAGACACTTAAAATGTTTCTCTTTTTCATAATTCACAATGGAAGATTGGCAGTGATCTTTCTCTTTACCGTCAGGCAGATACTTATAAGGCACATACCTCAATGTAATTTCCTTCCTTCAAAAGGAAATGATTTCTACTTTTTGAAAACAAAAACAAAACAAAAAAACATCAATGCACAGCTACAAAAATGACAAAAGTACCAAAGAACAAGAAAACCATTTGTACCTCATTGCTTTGACGCTGAATAAAAGGTAAACTACTCAATATTCTGTGTTCAGTCAAAGAAGACTGCAAGGCAATACTAACACTGTTTTGACAAAATCACTGCAATACTCGATGGCAGTACACATTCTGAATTTAAGAGCTTTGGAGAGAACACAGATGATTTCCTATTGGAGAAAAACACCACTTTACATTTATAATCATGAGAGGGAAAACCATGTGCTATGGACCACTGACGGCCATTAAGACAGATTAAAAACATGAAGTACAAATATCTATTTATGTAAGCATACATAAAGCACCGAATGGGACCTTTGATCACCAATGTCCGTTCATTGTATCAACTCCAGCAACCGTGCAATCCAACGTCAATAACAGGATTATCACAAACAGATTATAAAAAACACTGTTATATACACGTGTGAGTACCTCAGCAGACTAACTAAATTGAGCCATTTTAGATATCAAGAAGACAACTGTGGCTGCCTCCGAGTCTTGTGTGATGTGTTCATTTTTTGGACTCGATGCCATACTGTAGTTACTAAAACACCACTTGGTAAAACCTGGTAGAACACTGTAACATTTACAGATTCACAAAATTAACATACAAACTAAATGACAACAGATTCCACCACTTTTTAAAACGTATGATGTATAAAGATATCATCAGAGTTAGGGTTATGTCTGACCTGCTTTAAGGAGAATGGATTTGAACCTCTGGGACCAGAACGGGTGATACTTGGTGTATGGGCGAGAGTAGATGTACTTATATTGATGATTTTCATTACCTTGAATACATGCATTTTGACCATCAGTGTGTATAGCAAAAACAGTGACAATACACAGAATACTGTTTCAAGGAAGTGAGCTTTAGCTCAACATTTCGAAGTTTTACAAAGAGAAGAGCTTCCAAAAATAGCCTACATTCCAGAAAAGGAATACAACTATGTATCTGTACATTATTTTGACACATCCCATTTCTGAGTGGGATGACATTTTTTTTTTTACAAAATTAACAGACTTGGCAACCGCCTGTTTCACAACACTAAGTACATAATATAGTTCTCATAATTGACACTTTGGTCTTAATCTTCACATACACCAGAGTTTTCTCTTTTTTTTCTGAAGGGAGGAGAAAGTTGAGAGAGAGAGAGAGCAGCTACTGCATGATCGCCAGGAACTTGCTCTCCTCGGCCAGTGTGGTGAGGAGAGAGCTCATGTCTCCAATGGCCATGTTGTTTAGGCCAGGGGCCACACTATGGAAGGTTGCAGATGCTCGAGGTGTAGTCAGGCGTGATGAAGTTCTGGACAGACCCTGGAAGATGGAGGGACTCAGCACCCCAGAGACCAGGCTACCTTGGTCGAAGCCATCCTCTAGCATGGCACTAAAGTCCAGACTAACCCCCTCATCTAATACACCAGGGACAGTGCCATCCACCGTGCTTGTTACCTGGTCTGCACCAGGAGAGAGAAGGGCAACAGAGTTCCCGCTTCCACTGCTACTACCTTGTCCAACGGTCTCAGCCATTGAGTCCAGTAAGCACTGGTCTTCCAGAACAGGGTACGAGGAGGCCTTGTGATCCACTGGTTCATAGGAAAGGCAGTCGCCAAAGCCCTGCTCTTGGTATCCATGGTCTGGGGCCTCCAGTTTCAGCCCAGATACCTGATATGCAAGGGAGCAATGGTCACCACTTCTCTGCAATTGTTGCTGCTGGTTCAGACAACCCTGGATTTCACCAGAGTTCTCTAGACTGAGACACTGCTGGGCTCTGACCAAGTTCCTGTGAGTGTTTGGTGGGCGAGGGACATGGACCTGCCGATTGTGAAGAGGAGCAGTTCCCTGGGAGAGACTGGGTAGGTGGTCCATAGAGGCTCTGGTAAGAACTAGATTGTTCCCAATCTGGCAAGAGGTGCTGCTGTTGTGGTTTGGTAGGAAGTGGCTCTGTTTTCGAGGTCCATGAGAGGCCTGCTGTTTTAATTCATGCAGGGGCCCATTGTTGATCTGTGCAAAGTTTGGCCTTCCAAAGGGGTTTGTAGGGTTTTGACCAGTACCTCGCATCTCCATGCAGGACCTGGGTGATGTCTCTAGCTTCACTCCAGGGTTGACACAACAAGAACTTTGAGACTGATTAGCCTGGGCGCAACTGTTCTGAAGATCAAGGGGCACTTGCTGCTGGACAACCATGTTTCCAAACCTTCCAAAAGGTGCAGATGTCGGTCCATGTTCGGTACCTGACCACCTTCCACACTGTGTCTGGTGGTTTTGTTCCCTCTGAGGAGACCTGTCAGCACTCCCAGAGCTCACTTCATTCCACTGGATTGGAAGCTTACTCGGGCTCCTCCGCTCGACCATCTGCTGCTGTTGGAGACAGTGGGAACCAGATAATGCCATATTCAACCCATTCTGGATCTGTTCTATCTCCTCCATAGATGGATGGGAGTTTTCCCTTTGGCTAGAAACTATTTGGTCCTCAACGTTCATGTAGGAGCCGCCATCCACCTGAACATGGGAGTGGAGATACTGCACCAGGTCATCTGGTAGCATATCCTCATCCCCAAGCAAAAGACCAGCCTCCCCCTCATCCTCCATGGCCAGGGCTTCTAAGGCTGAGTGTTCTGCGATGCTAGGAGTGTAGGGTGAGTGCTGAAGACCTCTTTGCAGGTTGCCCTCAGAGCGGGTGTAGTTCTGAAGGCTGAAGTTGCGAGTTTCTGGCGTCGAATATTGAGACAGAGGTGGAAGAGGGTGGAGGTTGTTAAGGCTGTTGAAGCGTTGCACTGGGGGCAGACTGCAACAATCAGGAGCCTGCGTTCGCACCGGGTCACTAGCCCTCCGGTTCCCATTCAGTGGCCCCTCACCAGGTAAGAGAACCCTTCTCCTGTAACCTGAATGTCCCATATACCCATTGGTGTACCCGTTGATGCCATCACTGCAGCGATGCGGTCTAACAAGAGGTGGTAAAGAATGGTTGCTACCACCCTCATCCATCATGGCCATGCGAGTCTTCAAGCTCATGCGCTCCATGTTGGGTAGAGGCGTGGGAGGTGGGCCACCAGTTGCTGCTGCGTACTTGGCTTTCAGGTGGTAGTGCTGTGCTGGGGTTAAAGTGAGCATCCCCTGTGACCCTCCTCCTCCTATACCTACTCCCCCTAGACCGCCACAGCTCCCAGCTAGAGGTATCCCTCCAAACCCTCCACCGACGCTACCACCATAGTGGCTTGCCTCACTGGACCGGCGGGAGGCATCAGTGGAGATGGGGTCGTAAGAGTCAGTGGAGCTAAGGTTGTGGCGGCGACGATGTTGGGTGGCTGCCATCATGCCCTCATTTTGGGAAGCCTGGCTGGAGCGTCGACTGGAGAAGCAGGGAGAGATGCCCGATGAGCGACGACTGCTGCTCAGGTAGGCTGAACTGGTGGCGCTACCGCTGCTGTCACGTCGGTCCCGAAGCAAATTAAGCACTGTTAGCTCTGTGCTGCCCAGCTCAGCATGAGCAGGTGGCTGAGGAGCAGACACCCCCCACTGCCTGCCCAGACAGGATCCTGAGGTGAAACACAAAAATAAAAAAGGAATTTAGAACGTTTGGGCAGAAATTGAGAAAATAAGGACATAATGAGGTCATAGTGGGTTCACAGGAAAATGAGTGAAAAGACAAAAAAAAAAAGTTAGATTTAAAATGTGGAGAGATCTCTTTCACAGATGTTGCCATAGACAACAGGCAACACTTGGCCATGAAACATTGTTACATGCTATTTTCTCTGATATGATATACAGCTTGATATGGTTTGATACCATTTCCCAGTGGAACAGACAATTTTAAGCATTTGGTGTGCATAAATGCCCCAGCCAAGACGGGCAAGATGGAATGCAGGATAAATCATTTCTCAAAGCTAGATTTGTGTACACAAAGTGCCATTCTTCAACCCTATGTTGAAATAAGGATAATCTGTTATATAACTCCAAAAGAAGACTTTGGAAAAACATTATTCAGGACATTATTTCTGGGCAGCTGTGGCTCAGAGGTTGAGCTGGTTGTCCTCCAATCAGCAGATTTACAATTTGAGGCCCGGTTCCTGCAGTCCAATAGACAATAATGAACCCAAAACTGCTCCCATAAACATGTGATTAGATTATTTTTTATTGGCAACCTGGAACTTTGCGAAGCCACATAACATATATTCTCAAACCCATTTAGAACTCAAATTTTATACTGTTTTTTATACGTTCAAAGTTTAATAAGTTAACCTTACCCTTCCCCAAGATGGTAGGTAGTGTGGAGCCTTTTGGAGGGGGTGTAGGGGACAGGGTCCCTGGCCTGGGCAGCCCTCCATTCACCTGCTTCAGCCTTTCCATCTTGATATGCTCCATCCAGCGCACGGGACGGCCAACACTTCGCCTTGCCTGCAGGGTCAGCATGGCTGTTGTTGCCGTGGAGACTGTGGAGTCCATAATGGGGGCCGGCTCACCCTCACACTCCTCCTCTGCCTCCACTTCTTTTTCCTCTTTCTCCTCGTTCTCCTCCAGCCCCTCCCTTGGTGAGCGTCCGGCGCTCACAGCAAGCTGGACTCCACTGCTGGGATAGGTGCTGAAGGGGGACTGGTCACTGCTGCATGTAGACTCACCGCCAGGGCTTGGCTGAGACGCCTGACAGACACAGGCCGGGGAAAAGAAAATAAAGGAAGAAAAGAAATAGAAATTAAAATCAAGTTGATCTGAGGTAAGACACGAGAGAAGTTCAACAGTGCCATGTGTCACAAACAATGATGCGATGTAATCTGTTGAAGGATGCATTCCTGAAAACATTACAGAATGATAAAACAATCTATAAAAGACAATTAAGACAGATAATTCTAATTATGTGTTCAAAGAATCATCATGCATAAACATTGAGGTTTAATCTGGTTGTTCAAATGAAAACTTCTGCAATTTTTCTTTTAGAAAAAACAAGGGCTCCAGGAGAGAACGTTTCATAAATTATTGGGGCATAAGTAATGCCTCCCCGTGTTGTAGCCAGTACAGGGTTTTCCGCAGGTTTTGATGCCTCTTTAGGAAATGTCAACATTTAGAAAAAGTCCTAATGTGCTGTCAGGACACAGAAAGGAAAAATAACGAACACTGGTTGGGAGACGGATTTGAAAAAAGTTCAGATTGCAGAGAGAGATAGACGACGGTTTGTGAGGTAAAGCTGTGTATGTGTGCATGTGACAGTAAGACATACAGTAGGTTTGCGTGCACAGCATGCAGGGATTTTTCAGTATTTTGAAGACGCGTCTAAACTCCATTCCATCTTTTTCAACCCAGGTGCAAAGGTTGGGAAGAAAAAGAAGGTGAAGGGTGGAACAAAGGGCTCTAAATCAAACGGGACATGTTGGGCGAACATTCCCCTGCCTCCACCACCCATGCACCCTCTTCCTGGTACTGAGGTTGACCTTGACCGCTACCCTCAGGAGAACCACGGAGGAGGGTGAGACACATTCATATCTCATCAATCTCTGTCTTCACAAACACAAAAAAAACATATGTCGGCAGAAGAAACAAACGCAAATGCAGAGGTCACCATATCCTGCACCTGTGCAAACTGTGTATGTTTATTTTTATTTGTTTTCCTATCATATAAATTGGACAGGAGCCGGACACAGTTTAAACTATATTGAGATACACCCAGCTGCCTTTTTTTTAACTAAATACTGTATGTTTGTATTAGGCTTTTAAACACATGAAGCTTCCGATGGGAGGTAAAGAAATCAACATTCTGATCATATTTGGTTGATTTATTTTAGAATAGTGGCTCATTGTAAGTGGTAAGAACATTTGCTTTTACTAAATCCAAACCATTCTCTTCTAGTATTTTACCGCCTGTGTTGCAAAGTCTTTTTGTTCAGTTACCAGAATAACAAATGCTTCTAATACAGCCTTTAAAATGCAGCACCATCGAAGCCACAGTCAATACACCGATCTTATACTGTAATTTATAACCCCCCTACCCCAAAATCAACATATTATGTATCTTATCCCTGCCTCTAGTACTACTGATTCAGAGAGCCAAAGACAAACAAATTCATTTAAAATATCCCTTAAAACCAAAGTGTGGGCCTCCAAAATCAACACAAACTAAAAGCGCTTTAAGTTTAGCTTTAACTTAATCGAAACAGCTAAAAGCAACAAACAATAATCCTAAGAACACACTTACATAATCCTAAGAACACACTTATTTTGTAGCATTACTTATTTATAGCATTTATTTATATTTATTGCATCCCATTAATCCAGCCATCCAGATTTACCTAATAATTCACTATTTTTGTCTACACCTGTAAATTTTGCAATTACTGTACATAGCACAGAATTACTGTACATAGCACAGACTCTTGCACTCAATTACTGTACATAGCACAGACTCTTGCACTTTCTGCTTATTTGCACTTCTGGTGAGATGCCAAACCTCATTTCGTTACTCTATACTTGTATATGTGTAATGACAATAAAGTTGAATCTCATCTCATCTCATCATCTCAAAGGATGGATGAATGGATGATTGGTGGATGGATCAATGCATCAATGGATGGATGATGGATCGATTGATGAATGGATGATGGATGGATGATGGATGAATGGATGACTTGATGGATGGATGGATTGGTGGATGGATGGATGATGGATGAATGGATGACTTGATGGATGGATGGATTGGTGGATGGATGGATTGGTGGATGGATGGATTGGTGGATGGATCAATGGATGATGAATGGATTGATGGATGGTTGGATGATGGATCAATGGATGATGGATGAATGGATGATTGGTGAATGGATTTATATCATCTCGTCCCAAAATTAAAGTTTTGAATAACACAGGAATCATTTTGTCCACACGCCAGGTATGACAGCAACAGTTGGGCCCCTCCCATGTCTGTCCAGACCTACCGCCATCAGAATTTGGACAATGACGTCGAAGAGGAGAGAGGTCCACTCCTCCTCTGAGAGGACGATCCTCTCGCCAGGAGCTGCTACCTTCGGCCAACCGTCATCTTCCT